GAATAGCTGCCTTTCTTCTAGTCTTACACTGTTCAATTAGGAACGGGTAGCGTAGATAGCCCTCGTGTAGCTTTGCGCGAATTTCAAAACCAAACTTTAACTTGCAAAGAGCGTTGTTTATTTTTTGAAAGAAAAGCCACATTGGATTATCTGCTGTGTTCACGACGGGGAATAGAACCCTAGATTTTAGTATCATAAGTACATAGAATTACCATTGTCCCACCCAGGAACAAGAGTGTTGTTTACACAAACTTTTGTTTTTTCGGGTAATGATAACCCATTCGGCTCAGAATATCCAGCCCTTTTTTCTACGATCATGATTCTTGCTGTTACTTCAGCATTAAGCATTATGTTTTCAACCAAATATAAATCAATCTAAACAAGCTTGACGAAGAGAGCGGTTCTAAGGATGATGTATATAATATATGTATGAAACCTCAATTACGTTTTCTAACAATAAAGACAAATTGTTTCTTTTATCAATTCCCACACATATGAACGTATTTCTTTTAAATGCTGAGATTGTTGTAACGATTTGTTAATTTAGTGGGTATTCTTGAGTAATCTTACATTTAAACATTTGATCAAAAAATGCCCATGATGTAACTACATCAAGAACTTAAAAGACTAAGGAAAGCTTTTTGTAACGCAGAAAAATAACAACGAAAATAAAGCAACAGTTTCTTAACCAGTTACAGGGTAATTATCTTTCGCCCAAAAACCAAAAGTTGAACCATTTCTCCAGAAAGCTAGAATATTAAATGTCAGATCAAAGAAAATCTTGAGTTAATTTTAAGAAGAAGAACTAGAACCGAGTGAACACTTGTTTAACAGGAACAGTGTCTTGTGAGCAATAAACTGAAGGTTCTATTTTTTTGTTTGTGTGTTGAAGTTCGTGCAAAGTTACCCGAGAAATGTCTGAGTTTACTGTTCCTATTTAGAAATGATAGACTGAGGGGAGGCAGCTAGTCAACGCTACCCACCGCCTTCTCTTTGACCACTCTTTTATCAACGAAACGTGGGATTAACCGTCACATTATAATTCTCCCATGATTGAAATGGGCGAGCATGCTCGGTGACGTTATTCGAATCCACGACCCCTTGATTGTGAGTCGAGCGACCTAGCCACTGAAGAGAAGAAGGCAAGAACTCTAAATATGTATTACATAACGCCGAAATTATTTGCTTAAAAATCATGAGAAGCTTCTCTATATAAGAGAAACAGTGATTAGTCTCTCCCGAGATTTTCGTTACTTTTCGAAAAAATGTACTTCTACGAACCCTACTTTAAGTTCGCACTTGCTCCCTTTGGCTCAGATGAGGGATTATAATGGTACAGATTGGGTGTTTATACCTGTGGTGGGAAGAGTATAGATAATCCCTTTTGTAATTTTGTGCTAAACAACTGACAAGACTATTTTAAAACTATCGGCGTTACTAATTACCTTAATAAACCTAATTTTTGGTGATATAATTGTAAAGAATGAACAAAAATATATTTATGGGTAATTAGAAAGAATATCCATATTAATAATCAGATTCTTCTGTTTAAAGCAAGCTACCTGCATAGTTCAGAAATAAACCTTAACTTCACAAATACCATAATTAGTGTAATATATCGGTCTAACTAGGAGCATATAATGCCATAAAATAAAAGCCTAATAATGATTAGAATGTATTGAATCACCAGTTGGTACCTTTGCTGTTATGAATTATCATCACGATATATAACTTTTGTAGGTTATGATATTTATAATTTTATTTCTAATATTAGAGAAAATTATGGGTGGGTTATAAAAGGTTAGCAAATAGGTGCTATGTAGAAGCCTATGGTAATTGTTTCACCCCTGAATAATGAATGTTTACCTTCTGAGAGTTCCCTCATTGACGGATGTCTTGAATTACGATTTGTCTACTTTTCAGACCCTGTGTGTTTTTTAAGAGATAATGAGAGAAAATGTGCATTATACTTTTAAATACAGTTACGTACACATTTTATCACATATTTAGTGTTTTTATATTTTCTTATGTTTTGTTTTTATATTTTCTTATGTTTTGTTTTTATATTATTTTATAATGTCTTAGTTTCAGATTCTATTCTAGCCCATTTTTACGTCAGAAGAAGCACGAGAATGGGATACGTTCTTGATAAATGCAGTTAACATGTAAAATTAACACTCAGTTTTAGAATGTTATAAGCTGAGGCATCCGTCCTTTTTCCATGTTACAAACTTTTAAAAATGTAGGGGGTGGATACTATGATAAATAACACAATAAATCCTAACTTCTACACAATTTATTTATAACATAATATATTAATACAGTACTTATTATAACCTCGCCAAAAGTTCTGTATAAGCTTTAAGAACTCAGTATGTATATACTTAAAACATGATATACACTGTGCGACGGTCAGGGTGACTTTGTAGGAAGAGGTAGTGGCAGTAGGCGTGCTTTCTGTTACCCGCTTTCAACACCCAGCTCTTAATGTCCTTCCACACTGTTTCAAATTATTAATTAATTAACGGTTATTGGCCGCAGAAGTATCTTAAGGGCCGAAGATGTAAGGCCACGGGTTAAACTCTAGAAACTGCTCTTCATAACAGCCTTATGGTGGCCATTAGAGTAGCAATTTCATTTGAATTTATGTATTATTGTAATATTGGTGGCAATGTTTTTCGTTGCATTCCTTCATATAGAGTGCTAGCGCACTCTCTGAGATATATAAGACGTTTGTGTGCCCTCCACCCACGCTATGTTATATAAAATTTAATAAAAACCCTATAACCCGAGCGCTTTCGAAAGGTGGACCTTTCTTCTTCAGTTTGCTC